TTAAAACATTTTCATAGAATAGGATTGAATTTGGAAAAAAATGTACTCAATTAAAATGTGACAGTTTCAAGAATAAAAACTAAGATTAAATGCTATCACACTCTGATATTTTTAGGAAGAATGGTATTAGAGTAAAACAGGATTTCTTAAGATATTACATAACCTAGCTGACCAAAAAATACAAGGACAATAAAAACAATCCAAATGATGAATCCCATAGATAGCCAATTTAAAAGACAACTTAAAGGGGGCATTAGAAGAAATTGGAAAGATAATTTAGTTATAACAACTTGTGAAAATGTGCTGTAAAACTGTCCATTAAATATTTCATTTGTTAGATTTTTATCCCACCCTCTTCTGATTGAGTTTGGAGATTTGTAACAAAACAGACACGTATTAAGATATTTCAAAGTAAACCATAAGGAAAGTTCACAAAGCCATAATGTAAAAATCTAAAATAAGGGATGCCTGGGTGGCTCAGTTGGTGGAGCGTCTGCCTTTGGCTCAGGTCATGATCCCGGGGTCCTGGGTTCCAGTCCCATATCAGGCTCCTTGCTCAGCGGGTTGCCTGCTTCTTCCTCTGCCCCTCCCGCTGCTCCTGCTCTCCTTCTCTCTCTCTCTCTCTCACTCTCTCTCTCAAATAAATAAATAAAATCTTTAAAAAATCATTTATTAAAAAACATCTAGAATAAGATAAGTAATGCATTAAAACTTTAATAGAGAGAGGTGCATGTGTATTACAGAATACGTAACAGAATAATGCAGCAAATGAATAAGATAATGAAGGGGTAAAGATATTTGTCATCCCCGTTGAATAAATTTGCTCTGAGATACATATTTTCTAAAGAGATATGAGATATGAGATATACATTTTCTAAAGAATGCAAGGAATGAATCCATTAGCATCAAATGTAAGTGGTAAGGAAGTCAGTAATAAACAAATGGACTGTTACTTATAAATAAACATCAGGAAAAGCAAAAAGGCAAAAAAGGCCTAGGCTTTCTTGTACAGGAATTATGAACATTAACATCCAAGAGAAATATTCATTTTATTATGGTAAATTTTACTATTTGTGAATAGATATGCCAGCAAAAAAATATACTTAATGTTGAATAATGTGAAATTTTGCTATTAATTTCCAAATTAAGTGCTTTTTAAGTAAAAATATCATAATGCTTTGGGATGCCTAGGTGGCTCAGTTGGTTAAGCGACTGCCTTCGGCTCAGGTCATGATCCTGGAGTCCCGGGATCGAGTCCCACATCAGGCTTCCTGCTCAGCAGGGAATCTGCTTCTCCATCTGATCCTTCCCCCCTCATGCTCTCTCTCTCTCATTCTGGCTCTCAACTAAATAAATAAAATCTTTAAAAAATATATATCATAATGCTTAAAGAAAAACAGTCCTTTTAAAAGAGAAGATAAATATAGGTAGAAAATGATAATAATACATATTCTCTATTGAGTAAAATGACAATATTAACACAAATGAAAAAATATTTGCTATGATTATTAAAAGGTGTAACAGAATTTTTATTTATTTATTTATTTTATTTTTTATAACAGAATTTTTAAAAATCTATTGAGAAGAGTGGGGAATGGGATGTATCTAATTCACATAGAAACAATTCTAAGAAATTTCCTTTAGATAATTTTCAAATGAGATGAGATGGAAGGTCGGTGATAAGCTTCAATTTCCTCTTCTGACAAATCTCCATTTATCTAGGAAGCTATTGAAGGAACACCTCTAACCACTTTTTACATAGCATTCTACCACTATGGGATTGAAGGGATGTATATAATTTTAACTCCTTTCACTCTCCTACACAATGGTTTTCCAAAGCATCAATGATAGGACTCTAGATTTTTCTTAACTGTACCCAAAAAGAATCTAGCAGGAATGTCAATAGATATTATTTGATATTGAAGACAGTACTAATAGAAAGTTAGAAAGTTTGATACACAGAACTATGCTACAGAAATGTAGCTTACAAAAAAAAATAAATAAATAAATTGACAGGTAGCTGTTTGCTTTGGCCTTTCCATGATTCTGTTCCACGTTTCCTTTCTCATCTAATAGATTTTTTTTTTAAAGATTTTATTTATTTATTTGAGAGAGAGAATGAGAGACAGAGTGAGGGAGCAAGCAAGGAGAGTGGCAGGCAGAGGGAGAAGCAGGCTTCTCTGAGCAAGGAGCCCGATGCAGGACTCGATCCCAGGACTCCGGGATCATGACCTGAGCCGAAGGCAGTCGCTTAACCAACTGAGCCACCCAGGCGCCCCTCTCATCTAATAGATTTTTGAAACATCAGTGGATATGGACATTAATTCAACTTCAAACAAAATATTTGAGAGTAGGATTTTGAGAAAAATTAAACGTACTGACCATGAGAGAAATTAAGAGACTTAATGATCTGTGACAGGACAAATCACAAGGAGTACATAGAAAACAAAACAAAGCACAACAGAGCACAGGTAAGAAGAGTCTTTTCAAAACATAAGAACATCTTACTCTTTAAGCAAATGATACTGTTTAAAAAAATGTATACTTTACAACTTGTGATTTCTAGGAAAAATAAGTAAATTGTGTTCCAAAACAATTTAAGAAAATATACACTTGGTGATACAAGAGTTTTTTAAGATAAGACAGCACACTCAATTGAAGTAAGATGGATATGAAGTAGATAGGAAAGAAAGGTATCAGAGAAGGATATCAGGTAAGGAAAATTAAAATGCAAAAAATTTAAGTCTGCATTGGAAATAATAAAAATCCATAAACAAAATGGCAATGATTGAATCTGTGATATAGAAAAAAAAAAGTCCCAGGTTAAGTGGAAAAGAAATAAAATTACTGGAGAGAAAAGGAATTTATGGCTATGGAACACACATAGAATCACAAACATGAATACATACTAAAATATATATACCAAAACTAAAGGACTAGAATAATGGAAAAGGGAAGAATTTTTTTTAATTCTCAATAGATAAAAACTTTCCTAAGTAAAAGAAATACCTAGTTGAGATTGTTAAAATGAATCTCCAAGTATTAAGTTAAAAGAAAGGAAAGTAGCAATCAGATTGTATCCTGGTAAGCATTTTCTTGAATTTCTTTGTTTTTTTTTTAAAGCATACATTTTAAAAAGAATACATTTTGAATTTTTTTAAAGATTTTATTTATTTATTAGAGAGAGAGAGAGAGAGAGAACATGAGCAGTGGGGTGGAGCAGAGGCAGAGGGAGAAGCAGGCCCCCCCACTGAGCAGGGAGCCCAAAGTGGCGCTTGGTCCCAGGACCCTGGGATCATGACCTGAGCCAAAGGCAGACGCTTAATAACTGAGCCACCCAGGTGACCAACATTTTGAATTTCAAGATGAATGTTCCAGTTATTAAGCTGCCCTCACATTCTCACATTCTCTCTTCTATACTGTACTTCTCTCTTCTATACTGTACTCTTTGATGTCGGGCCAGCAATTCTGCAAACCACTTTTCTGATTTGCCACCTGGTTCCATTTTTGGCATTCATGGATACAAGAGAGAATCTGAAAGACTAAGGGCTAGGCCTCTCCTAGGGGGAGGGTCTTGCTCCTTGTTGTTTGTTTCATGTTCCTATGAGTATCACCCCATCCTTTCTTTTTGTATCCAGTTGGCAGTTTTTAACACTTAGAAAAATCAGCCTTATTGAGACCCCTCAGTTGGCAATGAGACCATCCATTTGGCAGTTTTTCTTTGTCTGAGATGCTGTTCCTACCAATCCTACATCATAAATGTATCAACTAAAGGAAACGACTCCCACCCCTAGTGCTGAGGAACAAAAAGAACAAATTATAATAATTAAGATTTTGAAGTTTGGAGGAGGAATTTATGTAGTTGAAGCCCAGACATGTGTCACTGGGCCACTGTTTAGCTAGAGCTGGTGTCTGTGACATGAAAGAGGGACCCTTAGACTGGGACCCTGAGGCCTTGGGAGAAGGTGCCAGTCTGCTGGTGCTGATGGTTCTGAGGGGTCTTAATAAGGCTGATTTTTATAACTGTTAAAAACTGCCAAATGGATGATCTCAATGCCAACTGCAAATTCAAAGGGACTGAGGGGCTAGAGCTTGCCATATTTGAGGCTGAAGCAAAGAGGAAAGAAAAAAGTAGAGTACGCAGGGGCAAGATCCAGTGCGTCCCTTTAGGTGAAGATAGGCCCTGTATCCTATTTGGAAAGAGAAGGCCTTGAAGAGGAATAACAGTTGATTTGTATTTGTAAAAGGATTGTTCTGGCTGCTTTGGCAAATGGATTGTAGGAGAAAGAGAAGTAGGGAAACCAGACTGGAAACATTTGCAGCTTTCCAGGACCAATGTGTCACTAACTTTGTTTAGGGCAGGAGGTTCTCATGGAAGTAAGAAGGAGCATATTTTGTCATCCCCACAGGATACGAGGCAAAGTCTGGAGACTTTCTGGTTGTCACACTGGGATAGAGGTAGAGCTGAGTCTAGTGCATAGAAGCCCAGAACTCCACTGCACATCCTGCTGTGCACAGGACAGAGCCTCACCGCCAATAAAAGATTATCTGGCCCCAAATTTCAACATTATGGAGATGAAGAATTCCTGATTTAGGGTGATAGAAATGGAAATGGTGGAAAGTGGACACACTAGTATAATGATGCAAAAAATATATACTAGGCACCAAATTTTAGTAGCATTTCGAAAGCCCCTCAGATGATTTTACCAGAAAGTATGCAAATATGCAGATCTCTAGTGGAAATAATTCTCACGAGATATATTCGATGCTGCTTTAACTGGCAATTAATGTGAAGTTTTAGTTTCTGTTTTATATGGCGAGACAACCAGAAAAATATGCAATCTTGATTCATCAATTATCCATGAAGACTGAATTAAAGAAAAAAATAGCAATCTTAAAATATTTAAAGAGATTTTTATTGAGTTGGCTTACTAAAAGTTATTTTAAAAAGGATACTCAAAAAAATGTGTATTCAGATAAAAGAAGAAAAATCTACTCACTTGCCATTCAGTGCTGCTACACCAACTGTGCTTCGGGCAATGGACATACTGGCTACAAATGTCCATTGCTGACTCTGGGGATCCCACCTCTCCACTGTATTCAGATAGCTCCAGCCATCATGGCCTCCCACAGCATAAATAGGACCTTCAAGGACTGTTACACCTAAAACAGGGGAGAAATGAAAACTGAATGGATTGATTTCACAGTGAGATTTAAAAAATCAGATTAATAGTAAAAACTGTGATGCAATTCAGGGTAAGCTCTAGCTATCACCCAATAGCAGTAGGGTAGAATCTATTTACTATTAACAGTATCATTTTCTTAAAGTGCAAAAAATTTAGAACCAAAAATATGATCTAGATGCTTTATAAAAGAAAATGAACTTCCTTATTTATGTCTCTATGAAGAAACAAATTCTAAAAATCAGAGATGATACATATTGTGCCTCTACTTTTGAAGAACATTTCCACTCTGCAGTTTAAAGTAGTTTATTACTTTAAGCAATGTTACATTAAATCAATGCAATATTATCAATTTGAAATTCAGGGTAGGATTTTCTGTGTTTTGGCTTCTCAGTAACTCCATGATGAAGTTTTCTAAAGGTTATGATGCATTTCATATTATAAGCTGAAATCACTAAACATAAGCATTTTAAACAAATTAATAGTGAGTCATCAATGGAAGGAGATTTTATATATATGTGTGTGTATATATATACACCTATGTATATATATACACACACACACTCCTATATATTGCTTTTCCAGTATATTCACTGCTTTATAGATGAATTTTCTTAAATGCTAACAATTGCTAAATATTTAAATATCATGTTAATATTGGCTGAAATGATTTCATTATATATAGAGAAATTCTGACGAATTTTCCTCCCAAGTTCAAAGTCTGCTTGTCAAGGGCTTTGAAGAGTCTGCGATTTTACCCTACTTGCTAGCTGATGAGTTAGACTGTCATAAATTTATGTATATTGGTATAAGACATGAGACTCCTGGGTCAGAGGAGAAAGGTAATTCATTACTCATACCAACAGCAAGAGTCAGAGTATTACTTTTTTTTTTTTTTTTTTTTGCTTGTTCTTCAAGCCCCGGTTCCAACAGGGTGACCCAAAGAGGATGACCAAGTTTTTAACATTAACATTTCCCTCAGCTTGACCAAAATTTAGACAGGATTCTTCTTGCTTCTAGGGTCCTGACCTCATTTTCCTTAGAGCATTAATTTTAGAAAACATGTAATTGCACATTATTTCTCTGTCCTTTCTAGATGGAAATCTTTTTAAATGCCTCCTACTTGTGTTACAACCCAGGAATTTCTTCTCAAGGACCTGGGAACTATTTCTTCGAAATGTAAGCATTAAGAAAGATATTGAGAGCCTAACTTCAGTTGACCCCTTGCTTCAAGTTGTAAAACTACCTCTTCTCATGAGATAGAAAATTTACCTCACCTTTGGGTAAGGCCAATTAGCAAACACAGATTGCCTATGAGCCACTGCGCCTACCAGAGCTCTTAAAAACCCTCCTGCCTTTGTTTTGAGTGAGGCTGAGTTCAGCCTCAATTCTGGCCTCTTTTCCCTGTTGCAATAGCCTTGAATAAAGTCTTCCGTGCTTTTTAAATTTGTCTAATGCATTCTTTGCATTGACAAGGGTCAGTTGGAACTTGAACGTGCAGTGAATTGTATTACGGGAAAGGAAATAACTTTTCAACGAGCAATAAACCTACATGCCTATTACTACAGAAGGAGACATCTTCATGCTTTTAAGCATGCCTGCCTTTCACTTTGGAAAGAAGAACTCTTTCTGTCTTAGCCTTTCCGTTATATTAATATCCTTTTGGGCAGTTGGTGCCTTGCCTGAAAGTTGTACAAAAATGTGAGAGACCCATGGAGAATTGTCTTTCAACACGAACCTGAAAATAAATGACCCCTTGTTCATTCGTTCGTTCACTCATTCATTCGAATGTCTATTATGTGTCAGGAATTGTTCTTAGTACCACACAGTGCCAAGAACACAGAAGCAAACAAGGCATACAAAGTCCATGCCCTCGCTGAGTTCATATATATCAGTTAACAAATATTTAACTAAAATGGAATAAGTACATTATTCACAGTAAGTCCTTCACACATATTATAGAATTATAATTTAATAAAGGATAAAGTAGTGCTTGCTTCGGCAGCACATATACTAAAAATAGGATAAAGTAACTAATTAGAATATCAAATTGCTCTCACACATATATTCAACTTAGGGATGCTATTTTACATACACCAGTAAATAGATATCCATATGGAGGACAGTGTTCTGACTCAGTGATTGCCAAAATCAAAGGGCATAAACTTTGGATGTTGATCTTTCTTTAGGCAGCTCAAAGTAAGAGATAGAAATCAGAAAGGATGAATAAGTCTTAAATATTTTGGGGGCAATTCTCAAAGGATATGGATTTATCTTATGGGCTTTTTATAGAAATATGTACAATCATTCACATCTCAATAATAATTAATTATATCAAGATCAATTTTAAACATCAGTGAAGTTTTTAAAGATATATCCATCAGAAAGGGCCAGATCATGCATGAATCTAATGAATTTGGATTTTATTCTAAGAGCAAAGGGAAATCACTGAAGTGTTCATCAGTGAGGGATATGGTCACCATGATATTTATTTTGGTTGTGTTGTAGCAAACGGATTGGAGTCAGTTTAGGTGGCAGTAGAGAGATGATTAGGAGGGAATTGCAGTTATCCAAAAAGGAGAAGATGAGAGCTTGCACTAGTAGGTTAAAGAGTAAATACAGAAAAGTAGAAATATTTGAGATTTATTCTGACTCTGGAGATTTGTTGTTAGAACATGCTAATGGATTGGATCTTGGTATGTGAATAAAAAGAACAATTCACGGATAGATGAATTGATTGAAAATTTTGAGAACTATATTTTGAAGATATCATTTTTGAGGAGACTATCAGACATCTAAGTGGAGCATTTAAAAAGGCTGTTTAATATACATGTCAAAAGTTCAAGTCAGTGTTGGAGCTACATGTCTAAATTTTGGACATACCAACAATGACATGGCATTTAAAGGCATAGAATCAAATAAGGTCAATTAAGAAAATAGTATTAAGAGAGAAGGTAACAGAGACCAGAATCTAGCCCTGAGTGGCTTCAATATCAATTACAAGAAAAGAGAACAAAAGAGACAGAGAAAAAATGGCCAGATAGGTAGAAGGAAAACCAGAAATTTTGGTATCTGAAAACTAAGAGTGGAGAGTGTTTCTAAGGGGATGGGGTAAAGTTTTCGTATTTCTGACCAAGTACAAACTTCTGTTGGATTTGGAAAGAGGGAGGTTATTGTTCACTTTCAAAATAGGTTCTGGAGTATTACATTACAAGTTGTAATACAATCTGATAACTACTTAATCAAATATATATCCTACAAAAATCATTGATCTGTGACTTGTTTTTTTAACTGTTTGAAATTATTTGACTTTATGAACATGTTTCAGTCCTAGAGCATATATAAAATGCCACAGATTTATGAACCTGGATGCCTTACAATGTGATTTGCATATTTTTTTTTGCAGCTGTGATGATAAATGGACCAGAATAATTTCAAAATTAGAATGATACATTCAATTTCTTCCTTATGTTTACCAAAAATATCTTACAGATGCAGTAAAGCAAGGTTAACAGTCTAAAAATATTTTTCTGTGCTTTGTTCAGTAACAATATTAAACCTCCACTAAAAAAAATAATAATTTAATTGAAATATTTTTGTATGTCTCAAGGTTAGTAATTGCATGACTACTTCTGATAATGAATTTCAAAATGTCTTCTTGATGCTTTATGTTACCAAATTGTACTTTTTCAAAACGCATAATTACTTACATATTTTACACTATGGGTCTTGCACATTTTATTCCCCTTAAGACTTCTGCTGTAAAATATTTATTACAATTTTCCCATATAGAGGCGCCTGGGTGGCTCAGTCGGTTAAGCACCCAACTCTTGATTTCGTCTCAGGTCACGATCTCAGGGTCCGGGGATCAAGCCTGGCATCGGGCTGTGCTCAGGGCAGAGTCTCCTTGTCCCTCTCCCTCTGCCCCTCCCCCCATTCACACTCACTCTCTAAAAATAAATAAATGAATATTTTAAAAAATAAAATAAAAGCAAAATTTAATTTTACTCACACAATTTACCTCAAAATATTTATTTTACCCTTTCTGTATCAATACAACCAGACACTTAATTTGTTCTCCTGAAAAAGAAATGATTACTCTTCTCTACACTTGTAAATATCATCCAATTAATATATTGCTAAATTTATTGTAAGCTCTAAACTTTTCCAAATTAAGAACATCATATTTTTTTTTTAATTTATTTGACAGAGAGAGACACAGCTAGAGAGGGAACACAAGCAAGGGGAGCGGGAGAGGAAGAAGCAGGCCACCCGCGGAGCGGGGAGTCCGATGCGGGGCTCCATCCCAGGACCCCGGGATCATGACCCGAGCGGAAGGCAGACGCCCAACGACTGAGCCACTCAGGTGCCCCCAGAACATCATATTTTAATTAAAAATTATGGCAACATAAAGCCAGTTCTTAATATCGCTTTACTGTTTGCATTTTGCCATTAATTACATAATTTGAAAAGCATTAGCTTGTAAAATATGAGGTTTCCTTTTGTCTGTATAGAGTATTTTTAAATGAATAATAATACATTTAAATTTCTTTTGACTTAATCATTATGTCAAATAAATTACTATAATATTACTAATTATTATCTTATAGAAGTCTCAAAATATATTTAAATTACCAGTGGCTTCAATATGTATATTGTCTTCTAGACATGAATTTATTTTTAAACTTTTTTTCTAAACTGTTTTTAAAAATCACCATCAAGGATATAGTAGCACCTAGTAAATACTTATAACTAATGATCAGGCTAATTTAATCCCAGTATTACCAAATAGTTTTACTTCAGAAGCCATGAAATCCTAAATAATAGTTCATTTAAGGATTTTTGTTCTGTGCAAAGACTTGAAAGAAAAATAACATACCTAATTGGGAATGGAGAAATAGATAAGTGAAATTATATACATTTTATATACATTACACATTTTTCCCCAGTGATATTAAATATATGTGTGATACGTATATT